ATATATATATATATATACAATTTTAAATACTTGCGACAGTTTCATTATTATATTATTAGAACGATAGTCACCGTTATGCACTCTAATCCTTCGAAGTCTCACGATCAAGCGAGATCAAGAGTATGCTCCAAATTTTTATTTTATTTTTTTCCCCCAATCATCTACTTATCTATGATGGACTGCATTTTTAACTTCGCATAGTTCTCACTAACATTCTGGCACTGCTTGACAACTTTACTTTATCATAGAAATAAAGAATAAGTTTAGGCTTGGCTTCTGGCTTTTCACATTGAGTATCTCATATATAAGCCGCATCGTTGCTACACTTGATGCAAGATTATTTTATTTAAGTTCATATGGTTGCTTTTCCTTTTTTAGAGCGATGTTCGTAGATTTTCTGAACTCTCTTCAGATGACAAGGACTTAATAAGATCCATTGCGCCTAACGCAGACAAGGAACTTGAAGAACTGCCTTTCGCGTCCTCTACTTACCAATTCAATGATGCTATTCCAGTCTTTATTGAAATGTCTACTGTTGCAGAGGATGGCGTAATGCCTGTTCGGTCTGTGGCATGTGATCTTCTTCTCGCTCGCCGTGTGGAAGCTAAATTGAAGGCTTCTACGTCTTTGTCGGCCAATAGTGAAGCCTCTATCACAAATCTCCTCTACATTGCTAATCCTAGAAATGAAAATGGCGAAACGACCGTAAGCTCTATCTCGGATTTCCATGTTTTTTTTCAATTCGTTTCTTGGATCATATCAGTTCTCTTTTTTAATATAATTTGACTTGACTCGACTCTAGTTTTATACATATTCTTTCTCCAACTCTGATTATACTATCTTATACAAAAAATGTATACTGCTTATCCGAAAGTCTTGAATTCTAATGTATGCACCGTGATAGTTTTGCAATATAACTTAGTGCTTGTTAGCATATGAAACACCCTCGTTTTCTAGGTTTCGCCTCGGAGATAACCACCAATCAATCTCCTTGTTCGGATATATGGTGCTTATCAACATTTAATTCTCATTTTATCAAAATTCAGGCTTATTAATTCAGAATTTTCCATCATCTGAGAGTGCTAGTCTAGCAGCATGTTTTGGTTAATATTTTAATTTATCATATCGACTAATTCATTTTACCGGCTCCCTAATCTAAGTTCAATGTAAAGGCCATAACGAGGCAATTTCATCTAAATTTTACTATATTTTGTTATCGTAATCTAATATATATACACTACTATCAAGTAACGTAGTGTGTATATTCGAAGAGGTATTCTCCTTTTTCTGTCCTCTAAAAATATCTACATACCTTTCTTTTAGCTATAAGTCACTACTCTATAAATAAGTTAATAATAATAACGAATTATATCTCACATTTTTCATCCCGTATTATTCAGGTTCATTTGGCCCAACTCAGAGTTGCTCTTATTTCCCATAGCAACTCTTCACTCTTACCGATTCCGTGAATAGTATTTATTCCTGGCTTATAATGTATTTATCTG